TGGTGGTTAGGCAGCCGGTACCCAAGGCTGGATACATCATTTCCAGTATACCCAGGAGCACAGGCCTGACAGAAACCAGTGAATCTGCTGCCTCCACACTGCAGGTGAGAGATAATATCTAAAAGTCATAAAATTATTGTCATTTAAAAAATGTTATGCTTTTTTACCCTACAACTCTACTAAAGATAAATTAATGGATTTTTAATTAGTCTCTTTTATTTTAAAAGTCCCCACAATTTTATTATTATACAAACTATTTGAGGTTAAAAACGATATACATACTCAAGGGTTTTCCTTTAGTTAATTGTATTATGTAGTAGTGCAGGCGTGCATTCATTAGTTAAAATAATGGAAATCATATTACCCACTTTAAATGAATAACCTGCTCTATCTGTTGCTCCAACACCTACTTGTGTTTAGTTCAATGAAGACTACATACTTGCAGCCCTATCTTTGTTTTTATTTGTCAGTCAATTAAAACATTACGTGAGTGTTATAAAGTTGTTAAAAAGTATATCAAATATGAGATTTTACGACTGTTAGAAATTACAGCAGAGAACCACACGTTCATTGCCATCAACTTTTCTGAATAAGGCACACACATTTCTGTTTGGATATTGTAAAACAAAATAAATTCAAAATGAGTTATTGATCATTTTATACAATTTAAAGGTTATACCCCCAGTATTATTACGTTGTGATACTTTTATTAGAGATATTACAACTTCCTATCATTCTCACAGCCATTGGCATGAACACCCCCTTGTGGTGTTGTTTTACATTTGTCAAGATAGGCAAGTACCCTAGCATTGTGCCTAATGCCAAAGCTGACTCTGACCAGAATAAACTGATAGAAGATGGATGGATGGATATTGGATGGGTGGTTGGATGGATGGATGGATGGATATTGGATGGATAGCTGGATAGCAGGATGTTTAGCTGGGCATTTAATAAATGTAAATTAAACACACCATAGGAAAATTTAACATACAATCACCGGCTAAAAGTGTACATTCCAAAGTCAGGTGCTGTCTACCCAGTACTCTTCTCTTTTCTATTCAGCAGATATTAACAGATGTAAGACTGAGGAAAAGTTTTAAACTGAATATCAGGATTAGACTTTGGAAAAAAGAGGCTGTCACCTCTAAGCAACACTTAAGAGTTTTCTTTGAGTGTTTTTTAATGCCGTGTGCAGTTCAGACATGCACAATGTGTAGTATGTTCATGTTAACTAGAGCTTTGAAGTATCTGAATAGAGAGAGAAAAAATTAATTTGTTTATTTTTTTATATCTTGTTCTACTTATTTATGTGATGCCAGGAAATGTAGCATTTCTAACTTAGGCCCAATCCTGTATACAATCAGAACATTTAATACGTATAACTTTGTTTCTCTAGTTTGAAATGAATACAAATAGGTAAGCCTATATGTAACTGACGTTGGGCATAAAATATAGTATCGCGCAAAATGACTTGATAAGACAGCGTCACATCGAGTTGAATTTGCTGCAGAATTGTCGTTCACACGAGAGATATGCGCATCGTGTCGCTGTTCACTAACAAACCAGAGACACATGCGCCTGAGGGACGCCATGATCGTTTTCTAACCCAGAAGACGGGTATTCGCTTTCAACACGGCAGCTCCATTTCTTCAAGAAAAAAACCAAGGCTATGTGTTTTACTGTATCATCATATTTTGGCATTTATGACTAAACGTAAAATAACTAAAACGTTTTCTTATTGCGGAAATAATCGACCTGATTTCGCACTGGTAGTATTATCCAGGAACAATGGCATCGCCTTACGATGTGAAAGGTAAATGGTACATTTTCTTAGTATTTTTCGCGGTTTGGAGAAGCGTCTTGTCCGTGACTCGTTACTCTATTCCGGAGGAAATGAAAGAAGGTTCTGTTGTGGCGAATTTAGCGGCTGACCTTGGACTCAATGTTAACAGTCTGGCTGAACGTGAGGTAAAACTCGATATTTTACACAGCAAGAAATATTTAGATGTTAACAAAGACACTGGAGAACTGTATATTGTAGAGAAAATAGACAGAGAATATATTTGCACCATGAAAATCTCATCGTGCTTACTAAAAATGGATGTTATATTAGAAAAACCAGAAAGACTATTTAATTTTGAACTCGAAATATTAGACATTAATGATAATGCGCCTCGTTTTCGGCGAGAGACAATGCATTTAGATATTTCCGAGTCAACGGCAGCGAGAGAGCGATTCTCCCTAGCTAATGCGGTTGATCCCGATGTGGGTTCGAATTCAATTAAAACGTACTATTTAAGTGAAACCGAGAACTTCAGTCTAGATATCCAGATGGGAAGTGACGGGTCGAAATACGTGAACCTTATTTTAAAAAAGGCTTTGGACCGGGAGGAACAAGCTGTACATAATCTGATACTCACTGCTGTAGACGGCGGAGTCCCTGCGCGATCCGGCACCGCAAACATTATTGTTCGTGTTCAGGATGTGAATGACAACGCCCCTCAGTTTGATCGCCAAATTTATTATGTTAACATTTCTGAAAATTCACCTATTGGAACCCCTGTTATAAAGCTAAATGCTACTGACTTAGATGAAGGTTCAAACGCGGATATTATATATTCTTTCACGCTTTACACTTCCGAAAAAACGCAGGATTTGTTTTCTTTGAATTCGAATACAGGGGAAGTAAAAGTGAAAGGCATTATAGATTTTGAGGAAATAAAAACACTTGAGATGCATGTACAGGCTCACGATAATGGTTATAATCAGCTTTCAGGACAGTGTACACTAATGGTGTTTGTTACTGATGTTAATGACAACCCCCCCGCCATTGCTATCACGTCTCTTAAAACAGCGGTAAAAGAAGATGTTCCTCTAGGTACAATAATAGCGCTCATAAGCATTAGTGACAGAGACTCGGGAGATAACGGTATAGTTGACATTAGAATAAACAAT